TCCAAAGATAATTCCATGTAAAAAAATTATTTTTAATTATTATTTTTTATCATTTTATTTAATGGCAGTCGTAAAGATGTCTTTTTTTGTTAAAAAAACATTTCTGTTGAAAAAAGGGTATGTTTATTCAGTGAAAGTACGTTTTTGAGTCTGATTTCGTAACTTAAAGTATCAATCAGTATTAATCAGTATATTTGAGGACACCTCCTTAAACCATTAAGATTGAGTCCTAGTACGCAAAGATCCGATCATTTGAACAAAAGTTATTCAAGGCAATTAGTTTTCTTTTTTTCCACATTAATTTCTCTTCTCCTTATATGTGTAGATCACATTTCTATCTTTTTAATCTATGAAGGATACAGAAAAGATACTTATACATTGGAAAAGTGCGGAAAATTTTATTTCTGTTTGTTACCTCACTCATAAATATTCGATAATTATTTTAAGACTTTTAAAAATGTTAATTTTTTTTTCTTTATTAAACGTCTTGCAGCAAATGATAAAATAAAGATTTTTCATTATCATTGTTCATAATATATTTTTATTTTTCGTTATTATTGTTCATAATATATAAAGATTGGTAGGATCCAGTTTTCCCTCATTCATTTCCATATTGTTTTGGTTCTCACTNAACTGAATGACTGTTCATATAGAAATCGCAGGTATTAGTCTCATGCAACAACGCCCCCTATAGTTCGTTGCGGTCGCGAATAGTATTTTTTATTTTCAAATTTAGTGGATAACAATTGTAAGAAATGAGTGAAAACAATCCCACGGACAATGCGACGGATTTAAGGTTATGTCATGGTACGTCTATTGTGAATATCAATTGATTGTTAGGTTTCCTCTTATGAAATTACATTATGACGCATTCACATACATTATTAATACAAATACATTTTCCAGGGCGAGACGATGAGGCAACCACAAGCACTTCCACTGGTTCAAGAGGTCCATGAGGGAAAAATGCACAATATTACCGTGATTATAGAGCACGGAAGCGAGTGGAGCAGGAAAAAGCGTCGTTGAATAGAACTAGTGATCCTTCTACGACTGCGGATTCTTCTACTATTAACGTCGCAGGTTGCGAAGTTTAACTTCTTCCGCGCGGAGGGACTCCACGCACTATTTTTTTTCATTTTATATTTTAGCGTAGTATTAAAGTTTACATTTTTGATTACAGCTTTTAATTTTTTATGGTTTAAAACTTTATCACTAGCTATATTTTGCTTAATCATATTAAAGGAAGATTTCCGTCTCGTGATCTGCTGCAGAATAATCGCCAAGTCCTGCAAATTTCGGCCCGACAGATAGTTTTTATTTTTTATTGAACAATTTTTTCAAAGTGTTTATTTAAAATATAAACGTTACAAAAAAACCTATAAAACAATCTTTCTTTTTTATATTATTTATGTAAAAATAAAACTAAGCATGATGTGTTCATAATCAAATGGATGAAATTTTCAATAAGGTTAGAAACAAATAATGCGACCAAAACTATAATATTAATAAAGTTTATTTAGTACAAGAGAAAAACTTAGATCATAACACTTGTTCTTATTAAATAATACATAAAGATAAATAGTAGGTAATAACAATAGAGACATACTTTATTTTCGATTCATATAAATACGTAAGAAGTTTTAAAAACCATTTAAAGCGATTCGAGTCCTGAAAATTATTATTTATCTCCCTGTTTTGATAAAAATGGTTATTTTTCATATATTTTAATTTTTTTGTTTGTTTGAAAACATGAATTCATTTTAGAAACTTACATTATAGAAAAATATTATTCAGGTTGTTTTCTAAAAACATGTATTTTCGTAACATGTTAAAACCAATAAACTCGTAGGCACAATTTAAGATGGCAAAAAGAAAATTTATTTTTTCTTATTTTATTTATCTTATTTTGTAGGTAGCAAATTTTTTTAAAATATACTTTACAATTTCTGATATTTCAAACACTTGAATGCATTTTTAAAAGCTACGTCAAACAGGGTGTTTTCCAAAGAACAAGTGTACATGTAACATATTGAAAGAAATAAGCATTTTATTCGCAAAGAATATTTTAAAATATGTAGTAAGCAATATTTATTTATTTTTGCGATTTCTTTTTCGAAATACCATTCCTTTGAAATATTTTTAATCTATTTTTAGCTTTGTAGTAAGTTTGGTTTCCTAAATTCCTGTCCGTTTGTTCTAATCAAGTCGGATTTACGCCAATAAATGCCGTTCATAATATTCTTAATTTAGTCCAAATTTACCATTAAGATATGTTAGTACTTCATAATTTTTAACCCTAAGCTTTCCAGTGAGACCAATTAGAATCGTATTATCCAGAAATATCTTTGTCTCCAAATTTTTCAAAAGTTAAATAAAAACTCAAGGTGTTCTATAATGTCCGTCCTTAATAAAGTATTCACTTTGAGAGTCATAAATAAGGGAGGAAAAATAGAAACCTATTAATACTCTGAACTACTATTGAAGGATTATAATAATCTTCATTTGTAATATGAAGCTTGAAAATAGTTCCTAACGAAAGGCGAATGCATTCTGGTCCCAGAGGACGAGTAAACTGTTTTTTTTGATGATTTTAATACCTTAGTTGCTCCAACCTTACTAATGATTTATCAAAGTTTAGAAACGTTTCTGTTTCTTTTCCTTAGTAAAATACTAGTTGGTGAACCCAAAAATGCGTAGTTTTTTTAGCTTTTTTCTTTATAAGGATTCAAAAATGTATATTAATGGTATACATTATACAACATTTTCATGTAAGCAATTTGCATATTTTCTTTTAAAATTCTGAGGCTTAATGCATGTAATACAAGTAAAGAGATGGATTATTGTTTGTTTGAGTCTTTCAATTAATATCTTCTAAATGCGATAGTTTAAGCTTTACATTTCATTTCATAGTGTTATTTTTTCCTAGCATTTCTTGTAAATAAGATAGTTTAATTAATCATTTCTAAAATAAGATTACAGGAAAACTAGTTTACATTAACAGGAAAACTAGTTTCTTTACATTAACAGTAAAACTAGTTTATAAAACAGCATAAAATAAGTTGTAAGATATTTCGTTTCGCCATTTTTTAAAAACTAAAAACAGTAAGTAATGTTTAAGCACCTAAAAATACAGCTGATACTTTACTTTCTTATTTTGCTATTTTGAGATTAATAAACAATCCTTGAGATCTGTTTTGATCTTGATTTAAATCAGTGTTTTGAAAATCTGGTTTGACGAACTTCCATTAGATTTCTGAACTAAAATTTTTAATTTTCTGAAAGCTAGTTTTAGTAGTTAAAATGATTTAAAAAAAAATCGTCCTCACAATGTTTTTGAAATTTATGTTATGAAGCACTGAATGAAAATTAATGTTTCTCTAAACATTTTAACTTTGTAAAGATTATGAATAGTATTTTTATGCTATTTTCAAAAGCGATTAACTACTTCAAAACGAAAGGTAAAAATGTTAAATTATAAAAGAGCTCCTTTTTTATTTTTTGCTTAATTTCTGGAAACAATGCGTTTGCTAAAAGAGACATTGTTTTCGAGTACAAAAGTTTACATTTTGGTGACATAAGAGTTTTCTTGGTAGATCGCGATCAGTACCAAGTGTTGGAATAATTTTTTGAAATATTTATTGGAGATACTGGAGTAAAAATGCCATTCCGTGGAAAATCTGGAAATTTAAGTAGATAGAAAAGTTTATGGCTTTGCTGAAAACAAGGGACCCCCACTGAAAAAAATTCGAAATGGCATTATCAAAAACCAGAACCAGTATACATGAAATTTAAATCCAATATAAAACCATGCCAGAAATTTTAAAACCTGATGGTATGACTCAGTACACTATGGCACCATACTGGAGAATTTAAAATCATTATGTCAGGATAGTGGAAATTTTAAAACCATCATGTTGCCACACTGGAAATTTTGATACCAGCTTCCAAATATACTGGAAAATTTGTAACCAGTATAAAATTGTATTGGAAATTTTAACACCACTTTTCAAGCACGCTGGAAATTTTGAAACCAGTTAGTATCCATTCTGGAATCTAGAGAGCATTTAAGCGGTATACTGTACCTCAATAAGCACCGGCATTTAAACAGCTTTCAATGTCTTTTTCAATGGCTTTTCTCGTTAAAAATGCGCCATTAATTTATAACTTCTTTGTTTTTATTTTTTCTTGAATAATTTTCGATAATTAATACTAATCTGACTTTTACAGTTTTTTTGGAAAATTAAATTTTTTTTCCAACTCTATTCAATATTCTTTATACATTTAGTTTTTTTTAGTTGTAGTGCCCGTTATTTCTAATCTTTACTATTAGATAATTTAAAAAAAAGAAGAGATACTTCAAAATCAATTTTAAAAAAGTGAAAAAAAGAAGACTTTAAAAAATTCGTTTATTTTAGCCCATTATTTCCCCGAGTCGCAGTTTTGTAATATTTATTTGTATATTAACATTATACAGAGTCCAAAAAGTATAGAAACAGTCAAATGTCACAAGATGTACGCATCGCATCAACATCCTAAAAATACATGCATTAAATGTTTCCAGGAGGACGCTAACCAATGATATCAAATTAATTTTTAACGCAATAGATGGCACTGTAATCGCAAAATGAAATGAGGCAAACATTGTTTAAAATGAAGCTATATCAAAAATTACCAGTCAAATCGAAAAAATAAAAATAAACACAACAATATGAAAAACCTGTCTAATGATATCATTCATGCTTTGAGTTGGTATCATTGGTTGCATCTCTAGAAAAAAAATTATCTGCGTTGTATTTTCATATTCTTATATGATACATCTTTCTCGAAATATTCGATTTTTACCATACTTTTTGGACCACCTGAATTCAGCACGAAAATTAATTAAATCTCATCCAAAAACTTTTCTTTAAATAAAAATTGAAACCTTGGGCAGTAATAGGTTAAAGAATGTTTTAAATTAAACAATATTTCAATAAGTTAACTATTATATTATTTCAGATATTGATAACATTTAAGAAATAACTTGTCAATTTTTTTCCCGTTAGCTTCTTTACAAATTAAAATTTTGTCTAGATGGTGAGGCGATTATAGCATATTTAAACCCCCTGCAAATTCGTAAAATTATTCAAAAATTTGATTATTTAATAAAAAGGAGAAGAAGAAAAACGCTTAACCTCGACCCAACACATTAAGCATAAAGTGATAAATTATAGTATATCAGGTTCTTGTTGGTTTACAGTTTTTATTTACTTTTTAATCTGCTTCTACCAATAAATTTTTTTTATCTATATAAAATACTTATCTCTGTATACCTTAAATATTTTCTGCCTATTAATATTTGATTTCTATATTCTTAAAAGCTCAATTGCTGATCTGGGCATTCTAAAAAAGTTCTACAAAAAGTCTAGAATTCGCTATTTAAAGACAAAATCGAGAAAAATCTTTCAAATGGTTTCATGCCATATATGGTTTTCTCCAGACTCTTGAGAAAAAGAGAACATGTTTTCGTTTGCTGACTATCCTTGCCTTCAAGAAAGAACATTTTTTCATAGTTTCTTCAAGGAGGTTTGAGTAAGGTTTTTTGTATAAAAGACAATTTTTGTTCCAGAAGCCTCTTTTCTTTCAACGTGTCTTGCAACCTGTTCAGCAAAGCTCTTTCAGAACCTTGCCAAAGTCTGACAATATCCTCTTTGCTCATCGCTAATAACCTCAGTTCATCCATGGTGTAGGAAGATTGCCAGTTGGCGCTGAGATTGTCGCCAAACTCCAGGGATTCTATTCGTTCTTTGTTCTCACTCATTGTCAATAATGAATCTCGGCGTAAGTGGTAAATATCATCCAAAGAACGCACCTTTGGGTAGGACAGGACGCCAACTTTCAGCCAAGGATCTTCTTTAACTTGCATCGATGTTAAATCACCAGTACTAGCGCTTAGCCGAGTTCGATTTTTACTGAAGGTCATTGTACTAGCCGAACTGTAGGACTCTACTAATGAATCCGGATCGTCTGGCGACTCTGCATAGTATCTAAAATAGAATAAATGAATTGTTTAAGAAAATTTTATAATTTATTAAATTATTGCCCTCAACAGAAATCAAGAAATCAGACTAGTCTAATATATGTAAGAAGTATTTTAAGTGGCAACAGAGCCTCTGTTGCCACTTAAAATAAGTATATGTATTTTAAGTGGCAACAGAGCCATCGAAAAGTAGTCTTAATATTTCTTCAGAAAGATTCCGAGGGCTATTGGGCAAGGCAAAGGTCCCTCATGTTGTTAGAGGGCATTGCGTAATTTTCGGATTTAAGGTACCGAATCCCTTTGGAGGTAAAATTTTGAAATTCGTAAGTTAGACATTTTTATTTGAATATATGTGTGAATTATACACTAAGACATGATATAAATACAAAGTTTTTTTAGATTTTTTTTATAGAAAATATGCAGAGAAAACTGTTAAAAAAATCGACCTCTTTTCAAAATCACATAGGTTAGTTGTTATTTTTTCATTATTCTTGCTTTATCATACTCATAAAAGCGTAGGGAAAAGACTACGTATCAAACATTATATTAATATTTAGATATTTTATAGCAAATATTGAAACTTATTTTGCAAAACAAGCCAAAAATTGCAATTCGTTAATTTTAACTATATAATATAAAATAATAGTCGAATCAACTAGTCCGTTGTCTATTCCCTAGACTTGTGTATAGAAAATATTCATATAAAATTTCAAGTGGTCCGAAATTTTTTTTAAAGACATTTAATTTAAAATGATGGGAAATTACCGAAAATTTGCTTTGAGAAAAAGGACAAAAAAGGCGCACTTATCATTGAAATAACCAAAATAAATGATTTTTTAATTCAACATAACTTCTGTTCGATTTGGCATAAGAACAAAATTTAAATTGCTTTTGAAAGAGAAAGTTCATAGTTTCATTTTATATAAGAAACAAAAAAAAAGGATATTTTAGTCAAAATCGGCTTAAAACAGGTAGTCTGGTACTAATTGTTAAAACAATTATTGTCAAAATCAATAACATTTATTAAAGAATAAACTTAATTTTTTTTAATTCGGTTCATAATATAGACTTTCTGAGTCTATATTATGAACCTCATAAGTTCTGGCTTTTTCCGCTGCCAGGGAAGATCTACGATGATAAAACTAAACTGGGCTCTGGCTTATTCCTCTACCAGTGAAGACCTACAACGAAAAACTATACTGTGTTCCGGCTTATTCCTCTACCAAGGAAGATCTACGACGATTAACTATATTGGGTTCTGGCTTTTTCCGCTGCCAGGGAAGATCTACGATGGAAAAACTTTATTGGGTTCTGGCTTATTCCTCTACCAGGGAATGTGGTCCCGCAGTGGACTGATCGTTAAGACACGGTTCCCAGCAGATCACCGAAGTCAAGCATCACTGATCATTATTGATCTGTTACNGTCCGTGTGCATCACCATACATGTCTGTTTGAAAATGCAGTAACGATATCCTAGAGAATTAACTGCTGAGACTATCACTGTTTTCTTTCACCATTAAATAAAATTATCATTTCAAATCATAATTGCAAATCTTATTTACACCCTTAAATACAAAATTAAAATTCAAACTGAAAGTGTTGCAACGTACACACGGTACAGCTAGTAATTTTATAAAAATAAAGGAAATAATAAATTATGCGTAATTAATTAGATATAAATTTAATTACAGGTTCCTAAAAGCATAACTGGTAAAAAAAAACACAATTTGGGAACTGCTGGTCTAGTGCACTGTGCCATTTATCCATCTGTTTCTTTAAATTTATACCACCTATAAAAATTATTTCAATAGACAAAAGTGATGTTGCAGGACTAAATAGAAGTTTCAGAAAACCTGAAGTAATTCGAGACAGTGGCGTAGTTTTGGGGGACAAAACCTCCTCCGAAATTAATTAAACATTACAGGCTTAATGAGCTATTGTACAGATAGTAGAATGTAGACATAAAAAGTTTACATTTTTCATTTTTTTTTAAATTTAAATGCTTAGAATATATATATATATATATATATATATTGATATGTGTCTGTGTGTGACAGGGCATGTGTATAATTATATGTTCCGTTCTACAGTTCCAGATTTCAGCTTGAAAATATTTTACCAGATGGCGCTGCAGAAAGTAAGCGTGTAAATTAAAGAAAACACTAGATGAAAATCATCCTTACACACACATAATCACATTAAACTATTTTTCGCAATATCCATCATCAGCGGCAGTCACGTGTCGTCATGTGACATTTTTTGATGTGATTTTTAATTTTTTTTCTTTGCTTTATGGGTTTACTATCCTTTATCTGTTGAAGTTGTTTTTTTTACTTAGACCAGGATTTCCGAAAAAAAAAATCATGCTCTGTCGTATGAATATGTTCCGTCGCATCTACTTAAATTGTTCTAAAAATATTAAAGACATAATTTTTATGGTGCAGGGGCTTATTTTGAACTCGACATAATCGACACTTAGATTACATCTATGATTACATCTATAAAACTGCAAGTTTGAAAAAAAAGTATTAGTATGCAAATACATAAAAGTTTGCAGCCTAGAAATTAGAGAAACCCTATCGCATAAATAAGTAAATTGGTATGAAAATATTACTGCTCATTTTTAATCTTGCTAAATAATTTTTTAGTAAGCTTAATAAATTTAAAGTTGCTATGGTTCAGTGATTAGAGTACTGAGCTGTCTCTGCGAAGAACTGGGGTTTGATTCCCGTTTGCGGCTTGCTTAAGATCTTCGAATAGATAGATACCAATTTTCTAGGCAGTACGTCTGGTTAAAGCGTAAAGTTAACCTCATTCACAAAATTGTGAATACTACACCTATCTGGCTCGCCGGCCTGGTGACCGAGCGGTTAGCGTGCCTGACTGCGAAGCCATAGGCTGCTGGCTCGAATCCCGCTCTGGGCATGGATGTTTCTCTCTCTCTTTGTGCTGTCCTCTGTTGTGTGTGTATGATGTGTGAATGTGGCACACCCTATAAACGGGTTTGTGGCAGTGTGGCGAGGGCAATGTTGCTCGCCTCCGCGACTTTGGTTCACAGGTGCCCAGTGGGTAACGCGAAATGAGCAACAATTCTGGCATAGTATAAGCAAAAGATTCAAATTCAGTGCCTGCCATTGGGAAAAAAACCTTTCTGGCTCACAAAGGACTGTTTCACGAATGCCTCACTTAGATGCTAATTGAATTTATACTGAAGGCAGGTAGGCACTTTATATACGTCGTACTAGAGCTGCACAATGGGCTATTGGCGATTGTCTGAGGAACATTCCTGAGGATGATCCGAAAATGTGCCATCGCTATTTCGATCCTCTGCAGAGGAGATGGCTCCCCTGCTTTGGTGGTTTGAAGACGAGCGCATTTTACGGTCGAACAGCTTAACGAGGAACGATACCGAGCACCGTCGGTCTCTACGCAGGCTGATTAAAGTGATCACCCAGCCGCTTACTGACCACAGTCAGTGATGCTAGACTTCGGTGTTCTACTGGGAACCGTGTCTTTACGATCAGTCCACTGAGGGACAATTTATATTGGAATTTGGTATTTTATTTGAAGAATATTGTCATTCACTGTGCAAAAATATTGTTCATACCCAAATTAGATTCTATTATGATTTTATTATCGAAACTTATTGGTATGGGATAACTGTCAGAACTGATTCCATCTGGCTTAGTTCCAAGAATTGTTCTAACAGAAGCGCTGTTGCCTTTTGAGTTAAGCTTAAAATTAAAAAGCTATGGGTTTTAATATTAAATGCTGCATATGAACTGGTTGTTATTATCGGTGATAAAATAATCTAACAAGCAAGGATCGAAGAATCTCATTGTGAGATATGAATCGTGCTCTGTTTGATCTAACGTGGGTAGTCGCATAATCTTATGCAATTTGAAAGGTTTTACTTTTAGGAAGGTTTTGCAGCACTTTTGGAATGCCAGAGTCATTTTCCATAATTAGGTGGGAGAAAAAGGGAGTGCAACTGCTTTCGGTGGTATTGAGTATGTTGCTGGTCAGAACAGTGCGAGTATGCAGAGACTAAATTGTATTTATTACTGTGTGCGTTAAATGTTTTTTTAATAGAAACTTCAGATTTTGATGAAATAAAAAATAGCTGAGCCTTCGTGACCACACAGTACCACCAAAATTTCTAGTACAAAGAGGAGCGGGTTCGATTACTACAGTAATCATGCATGTATATTTTATGAGTTTATTGTTTTTCATATGTTTCAAAAACTGTGTTTTTCAATTTAGCATGCGTTTATAAAATTTTTTTTTGGTTGGTCGTACTTTAAATAAGCGCACGTGAGTGATTCGTTCCAAGCACTGAAGTTTTTCAATTAGCGTAGCTTAGTCGGGGTGGTTCAGGGAATAGAGCGCTTGCCTACCAATGAACCGGGTTCGAGTCCCAGCAATGACTGGACGCTACAAATTCCGCACATGGCTCGCACCAACCTCAGTGCTGACTTAAAATATCCCCAGTAGTAGGCGGATCATAGGTTAGAATCCCCTTGGCGAAACCGTAGAAGGTTTCCGTGATTTCTCCCGTGTCAAATGCCAGTTCCATCAAAAGGTTCTCCCCGAAGGCAAAATTTCTCCCAATACTTTATCCAAGATTTCTGTATTGGGTTCAAAATTACAAGGCTATGGAATTCAACATTGGTAGTCGTAAACTCTAAAAATTGGGTTGGCTGTTCAACGACGGTTATAAAATTAGCGTAGCCATAAATTGGAACTTTCGCATTAACCATGAGTAATAATTGCCTGGTATGGTTCATAAAGTTTACAAATTTATGGTTCTGCAGTGGACTGACACGATACCCAGTAGAACACTGTAGTCCTGCCGGTTAGTAAGCGGATGACCACTTTGATCAGTCTGCGTAGGGACCGAGGGTGTGGGGTATCGGTACTCGGTAAACTGTTCTACCGTAAAGTGCTCAACTTTCGCGCAGGTCGTCAGGTTATCTAAGTAGGAAACTTATCCTTTCTGAAGAAGATCAAAATTGCGATGACATATCTTCTGATCATCCTCTGAGATGTTTCCTATACTACCGCCAATAGCCCACTACGCGGCCGGGATAGCCTGTTTGGTAGGGCACTGGGCTCATGTCCAACAGTTCAGGGGTTCGATCTCCACCGTCCGAAGACTCCCGTGTAGTAAATGGAGACTGATGTACGTTAAATCTGTAGAGTAGCAAAGTCCTCCATGTTTCCATAACAAATCAATACGTCTAGGAGTACTGATCCAAGAGTTTCCTTCTCTTCTGGATTGGTTAAAAACCACAAGGATACGAAGTTGAACATCAGTAGTCGTAAACCCAAAATTGGATCGGCTATTCAACGCGGATAAAATAAAATAAAATAGCCCCCTATGCAGCTCTAGTGCTACACAAATTAAGTACCTACCTACCCACTAATTTATGAATGTTATAATTACGAAAACTTTTTTTTTAAAATGAGTAGTGTGAACAAATTTATTATTACCCATACATAATGCAGGCTTGTGTGCTCATTACAAAGTACAGCGTTATAAGTCATTGTGAATTTGAAAAACATGTAATAAAAGTTACGGCGGTATTTGAATTCGCTACCTCCATGTTATATTATAAGCATTTGGCTGGCTCTTCTTAACCGTCAAGTTTAATTCGTTCTTTTAACTGGTTGAAAATTTTTAACTAGTCATAAATATTTACGAACGAAAGCGGGTTTAAACTCGTGTTACAAACCACTCGCAATATCTGCTTCAAAGCAATCGTTGTTGTTATATTTGTTGATGGGAAAAAATACATGACTTAAAATAGCATTCAATGATATTAGAGCACTTTATAAAGGCTTGGTGATGTGATTTATAAATAAACTATGTTGTGAAACGAATATACTTTTGAAATATGTGATAATTGTTGTCGATGCAATAGATTCATAACGATTGCTTCAGCCTTCAATTACCAAATTAGACGAAATACGTAAGTACAAATATTGGTTCTAACATTGGCATACAAGATATGAATATTCTACTTTAATGTGTTATTTTATTTACTAATTCATTTTTTGAGTATCTTAAGGTTAGTGCTTTTTAATTGCTCTTATACACACATAAGAATCAGATAGACGGTAGATTCGTTTTTTATCAAAAATAGCGTTTGATACTATTTCTGTAAACTTCGCAATTGATGCATTGTAAAAATCTGAAAAACTCCAAAATTCATTTTATTATTTGCAGATAGTCTTACTTTTAATTTTCATTACTTTTATGTCATGAATTTATTTAAAGAAATTTTTCTTTTGACACCGAGTATGTCTAGTAAAACAAACAAAATTCGGACGGCTATTTCAACTGTATTTAATTAGAAAAAGTAATTATCTTAGAAAACAGAATCTTAGAAAAGATTTCTTACGCTCTTCTAATTTCTTGTATCATATCGAAAAACTGAGATTTGCTTTTTCTTCTTCGAGCTTCTTCTTTGAATTTCTGTAATCAAGAAAACAACTATATTAAATTTCAAGAAAAAAAATTGCATAATGAGTATTTATAATGATTATTATGAGATTTATATTCACTATTACAAGAATTATTATGAGACTTATCATGAGACTAATATCTACTATGACTATATATATGGTTATTTATATCATTATACAATATATATCAGTATAGTTTTTATTTGAATTTCGATTGTTTCAAAATATCAAATTACTTAATATTATGCAAAAAAATGCTTGAAGTATAGCATATTATAGGGCAAGTAAAAAAGGGCCTTTTTTAAAACTTTAGACAACTAATCACCATATTTACGGTTTAAGATGCATCGTTTTTTTAACCCTTTGAATTTTAACCAGAATCTTTATTAAGCATACTTTTCATATTTTTGTTCATTATTTTGTATTAATTTCAATTAAGAGAATAATATTAAATTTAGCATTTTAATAATTCATGGTTATGAAATGCAGGATGGTTATGAATGCAGGATGTCTTTTTCTGTGTTACATGTAAAATCTTCCAAAAACGACTCATTTATAAACAATTCTAAATTTGCACTCATTTGCAGTTTTTTAGATCTAAGAGAAAAAGTTATTCTTCATTGAAATTTCAATTATTTACAAAATAAATTATTTAGAATTGTTTTTTAAATATAAATGAAAAAGTTTTTTTTGCTACCCTTTTTGTATCTTATTTTTTGGTACAAACATAATTCGAATAATCGAACCGATTTTTTTTAATAACCATTAGACTGTTTTTCATAATTTAAAAATATCAAAATATATTTTTGCTTGTAGTTAGAGTGTCAGCAAAAGAAAAAACAGATGTTCTATCTGCGTCAAAGAGTTGATGATCGAAGTTGCGTTCTTTGAGTTTTTTTAGGGAACTTTTTATATTGCTCCAGATTGTTTTTTTAAGACCGAGCAATTCATACTTTTTCATTTACTGGATTTTTAAAGCCCATATTTAAAAAACGAACTCATAAACTGGAGGAAACGTGCTTAGGGAAAAATGAGCTTATAGTGATCTAGAAACTTCTTTATTGTTTTCTTCGCTTGTTATAATTGTAGTACACTCGATTTATGCTGTTAATGGTAAGATCTAAATAAGATCTCACTAATCTAGTTTGTTGCATGCTTTTCTGTTCGATATTTTATTGATGATTATCCCCATTTCTATAAGCCTATTTAAGAATTTATTAAATCCATAAAAACTATTAACATTTTCTTAATAATTTACTTGTTTTAATTAAACCCAAGAACTGTAACTAAATCATTCTTTTTATGGCTTATAATATTATTATGATAAAACCAGTAATTAAGAAAAACAGATTAAGTAAGTTGGTTGAAAAATCCAATTACTTGAAAATGCACTTTTTCGTCAGGTTATGTTTCAAATAATTATAGAATAAATTTTGATGACTTGGAAAAACACAAAAAAGCTCGAATTTATTTAAGTTAATTATCCTAATTAATTATTATTAGAGTTTTGTGAGGGAATAGAAATGTATTTTTCATAATTTTAATTAGCCTGTGGAAGTTTAAATAATGTTATTTTTTGTAGAACAAAATGCTTATTCTTTTTATTACCTTTCTACTGCATTTTAAGTTTTTATTTGAGTTAATAAATAGTAACTCATTTTACAGTACAGCTGTGTGCTGGTAATTTTTTTATGCTCTCAGATAGTTCTAAAAAATTTTTATGCATTCTTTTTCTTTCGCATTTTTTTTTCTTCAGATTTCGGAGGAAAAGAAATATTTGGGAGAAAAGAAACAGGAATTTAGTTAAATTTGACTGTACGTTTTTTTAGAATGCTTGTACGGTAAAGATTATTCAACTCTTACGTTTTCGGTTGCAGTGACATACTTTATAACTTTTGAAATGGCAGCACCTATTTTTTTAAAAAACGTAACGTAATCCCCATAGTAAAAAAAATTAAAATGGAATAAGAATGATATTATCAATACGAATTGTGGCGACGCTTGACAGAGATGAAGAGAGCAAGATACAGCATACAAATCACGATAGTTTATTCTTCATTGCAGATGTAGTCAAAACACTTTCGGTAGAACTGAGTCGTCGACTTGTCGAAAATGTATCTCCATATCTACTCTTTGGCATTTTCCATGCTATAAATGTAGTTCCAAATCCCTTTTTATCAGGATCTAAATTTCATAGAAACTCAGTTCCAGAAAAGTCATCATACGCCGCTACGGGAGCATTCCTGTAATGAACTGCTTCTTCGTGAACATCTGAACAGGCCACAATAGGGGTGACATATCCAGGTTCCTATGCAGTTTTAATCCTGATAATTTTTCCCTAACTCCCCTAGAAGTTGGTTCCAATATTTACAAGACTGCTGTTACATATAATGTTACGAATACTGTACGTTTCGATACAAAAATTGACTGAAAATGCCATTAAAAACTGTAGCATTAGGAGCAAAACTAATTCAGAATCGAAATCTCCTCACCCGGATTAGGATTAAAATATTAGTATAAATGCTATAAAAAATTCTTTTCCCATGCTATTGATTTTTATTCTTCAATGAAAAATGGCTGAAAGTGGTTTTCTACGGAGGACCATTATACTTCGCCGTTATACACGGAGTCTTATGTCATGCTGTAAGCTTATAAAGCATTCAAGAATTGCTGATATTTCTGCCTTCTAAAATTTTTAGCTTTTTTTCTTTTAAAATTTTTTTCTATATTATTTTTTAAAAAAAACTTTTAACAACCGTAACCGTTCACTGTAAACACGCATAGAAGATTTTCAACATTGGGTATAAAGCGCAACCGTATAGTACTGCAATGATAATGATAACAGTACTTTTTTTGCGCATAATGACTTTTACAGAAAGGATTAAGGACATGATTATTTAGAAGTACCAGAATAATCTATAAACTTTAGAAAGGGAAAAAAATACACTTTTAATATAAGTTAAAATGCTAATTAATATGAGGTGATGTTTTCACTTTTAGTTTTAACTGTATATTGATTTAAATAAAATTAAAGTAATCGTAACAAATTATATATAACTACAACTATTAAATTAACTGTATGAACATACCTTTTTGACGCTTTTCTGAAAGAGGCTGGCTATTTGTCCCTCTCTTAAGTTTGAAATGATTTCTTTAACTGAATGATGAGGTGAAACTAGTTCTACTGTGTTGATGAAACGATACAGCTTCTGTAAAGAAAAATACACATTGCACAATTTGAATAGATGATTCAAATTCAGAGGATTTATTTAAAAAATAAAAACTATCCACTTCTCCAATGATATTTAGTGAGAAAACAAAATATAGTCAGGGATCTGTTTAGAAAAAATTTGGATCCGTTAACGGACCGTTTTTATCTTTTAATCGGACCTTTATAATTTTTGTTTATCTTCATTATTGTTTTGTTAATCGAATATACTCTTCCCAGGTAGGGGGGAGGAAAGAAAGACAGATGTAAACGAACTAAATTTTGTCTTCGGCAGACGCTTCTTCCTTTATTTGTCAGAAATGAATATTCTGCGTTCAGCAGTATAGGCTAAGTACCAAATATTTATATGTTGCATCGCTAATTTAGTAGCTGCAATTGCTGCTTATTTTTTAAAATTTAATTTTTTTAATTATAATTTTACAGAGTTGAGCATAATCTTGTATGTCTTTACAATTTAAAAACTCTTTGAAAAAGTTTTTTGCAATAACGGACCCTATTTGCACAAATTCACAAAAGCGGACCCTGGTTGAAAGAATGTGACTTAACGTTTATTTTATATTCACAAATTACGAGTAATTTTTTCACAATTTTACAAAAACGGACCTTTCACAAAATGTCTGGACTGACCCCTGATAGTGTTTGAATACAAAGAATAAAGATACAATACCACTTTAATGTGTATTATGATAAATAATTAAAAATATCGGGTGCCCCCAAAATCACAGACTACTTGCAAATTAGTTTCAGATAAAAATATACGGTTAGTTGCATTCTGATTTAAAAAAAATTCAGGTAAATATAAAATGCATACCCACTAAGTTTTAAATAGAATTTATAAGTTCACCAACAGATGGAGAAAACTACAGAGCAATATTTTTTTGAGTATCAGACCATTCTAATTGAAAATATTTGTACGAAAGTATGAAATTTTTGCCCTGTAACTATGCTCCGGTGTTTATGAGTTGTGGGAAAAGAGCTTTCGACAATGCCAACTATCTATCAAAAAGTACCCCAATGTAGAATCTAGTTAATATGTCCTATATACTAGTGAAAAGGAATTGAATAATTGTAGTGTTAGGCACGATACAGTACTCTCCCATCGGAATTTAATTTTATCTGTGATAGCATTCGATACATTAGTTGATTCATTGCTGTTTTGTGAGAAGCCGAGAGAGCTGTATTAAGTTCACGAGCGTGGTCACTCCTGTGTTGCCAATAGCAGTCGAGTGTATTAAGTTTTAACGTTATAAGTCATTTAATAAAACAAGTGTATTTTGTTGCTAGTAAAAGCACAGTCAAGCACAAAAACACAACCAACTTGTTCATTGAGTTTGGTGTGTGGCACAACAGCGCATTCACTTGATCTATTGACTATTTCCAACTATGCAGCATTTAGTTTTGCGCTCATATCACAAAAGATAAATAATTTTTATACATTGGATATAAATAATTTACGCTTTTAATTTGTGAATTCGACCCCTATCATACCGATAATTAAGTTTTAAGCTCAAAACACAAAGGATGTTTTACTTTTATCAACTGAAAATAAATGCTTGTTTTAAATTTGTGAAATCTTATGTATGTCTTATAAGTCTTCTTATTAATTTACATTCTGATAATTAAACACTTTTTGAAGACACAGAAAGTGAAAAACAATCATGCTTTTTTCCTCGATGTTTTATAAAAAGTAAAAAACGTTAAAATCAAATAGTATTTTTTGTGGTATTAAATTGAAGATATAGTTATTCATACAATGTGCACGAAGTGATTTACTGTACTACATACTCGAATATTTCATAAAAAATATTAAAGTAACAAGACGAATTTCTTTATAAAATATGTACCACCTTTTTTGAAGCCATCAATTTACTTTTTGAAAGAACTAAAAGCAACTCCTTCAATATTTTGCTTTGACGCTACTTGTTACAAAGCTACACCCGTAAAAATTTTCTTCCTTCCTTTTTCTGCTGCTTAGCTATACTTATTTCCGTACAGAAATATTGATGTCATAAACTAAATGTTTTATTTTATTTATTCGAGTCTCGTACATCTAGTTTCCTAAAAATGCTCAAAGAAAAAAAATTTAGCTGATGTCGATGATAAACGTTATTACTAGAAAATGTTAGAAGTTTCAAAGTGATAAAAATAATATATCGTTAATGATTGCCTATTGTGGCCTTAGAAATATGCAAGACGAAGTATTTATCCGAATTGAAAAATTATCATAAATTTATCTTATTGAAACTATTTGATGTAATGTATGAACTGATTATTTTATACCGGATTTTTCATCAAACCATTATTGAAGGTAGGTGTATAAAACATCAACTTGAAAACGTTTTATAATACATATCTTTTAATTCTTCCCCTTCTTTCAATTACACGTATTATGAAGTTTACGTGCTACCTTTATAGTAATTTGGCCTCTCTTTTCATGATTTGCATATTTTTGTCTTTATTTTTGAGTGGGATTTTAAATATATATATAAAGGGTGACAATAATGGAACACCATTGTAAGAATCATAAAAAATCAGGCTAACATAAGTAATATTAAAAAATAGTATGATGCGATCAATTAAAATAAGCAGGCGATATTTTTGGAACAATCTGATTCAGGCGGAGTTTTGGTGAAGAAGTATAGAAAATCCGTTACGGAAGATATGAACCATAGTTATTGTTAATGAGAGATGAACTATTATGGGATAAGAAAGTGTATATACCCAAAGAATTGACTGTACTTGTTTTGATGTCATTGTATGGAAAATCGCTTGAACGGATGGAGTTGTTAGAATCTTAGTTTAATTAGAAATGGCAAAAGCTTTCTTGATAATTTAAATATCATTTTTATAAAAATTGAATCTTCAATTTTAATACATGAGACACTCTGTATGCGTATATAAAAGCTATAAACTTGGAGAAATTAAATGGTTTCCTGTTGTTTTTATTTTCATTTTTACATTTCTTATTATGATATTAATAATTTTAATTAATAATTTTAATTATTTTTTAATTTTTATTTGTTATCTAATTTTTATTTAATTTTTTTAAAGCTAATTTTCATGAAAATTGGCTTTAAATGCATATGACCATCAGAAAGCTGCTTTGAAAGTGTATTTTTTCATTAAAATAACATTTCTTAACGAGCAAATTACCGTCATACATTTTTACTCTACCATAACATGTTACTCCATGAAATCTGACTGGAATATTTTCAAAATAAAGTGTAATTTTACTAAGCTCTTTTAAGTCATTTGGAAAAAAAATGTTGAGTAAGTGAAGATTCATGTTTAGTTATCAGTTGCACCCAAACTAAAGAATGGTTTTAAAAGTAAATAAAAGGTTTAAATGTATGAATTCTGCTTAACCAGTTTTTCCTTTATAAAAACTTAAAAATTAGTTACAAAAATTTGCCAATAGATAGTGCTTTTAACTGAGGAAAGCTGTAAAACAACGAAGGTTTGCAGAGGTTGTACAGTTCATAAAAATAAAATTGAAAGAGCCCTTTGCAAATATTTTACTTAGAATGCTTTTACTTTGGGGCACAAACTGTCACTTTATAGCTTCTTTTAGTTAGCAGTATCGACGAACTTTAAGTAATTTTGAAATTGAGTAAGAATAGTATTTCTAGTTCCGTAAGCAAGAGGTAGCAAAATCTTCTAAAATTTCAATTTGATTACACTTTGAATCGCTGAAACAACTTATTGTTTATAGCAAAATTGTGGTACTTCTTTTCCAAATTCCCATCTAGAACAATTTTAGAGTGAGGCTTATCATAAAATTGCCGTATGACCTTCAAATATACTTTTAAAATACATCTCATTAATATGTAAAGATATAATCTAAATTTAAACTAGCACCAATGAAACTCTATAATAAATAAATGTCTGATAAAACACAATCATTACAACAATTTTGTTACAGATTAGATTTTTAACAACATTGTAACAGATTTGAAATAGAATTTCATTTAGTGTCCGGAGTGTTCATTAGTTTCAAGATATCCATTGCAAAAGAAAACTAATAATTTATCTTCACTTTCAGTGGACAGTGGTAATTTCATCTTACGCTCGCAAAAAAAAAATCTTATTAGTCTGAGGATACTCCTCAAGACGAATCGATTTCCTTTATTGCTAGAAAGTATAGCCATTAGATTGTCTCGAAAACTTACGCTAGTATTTTTTTTACACCGAATTCCCACTGTCAAAGAGGATAGTTATTACTCCGGAAGTCATGTAGAGAGAGTTCTTTCATGGCATGATATCGTAGCTTCTATTTTAATGTATTACTGTTCTTAAAAGATATTTCGATGGGTTTTATGAAGATATCCAGACTACTAGAATAAGTTTGTATTGAATAGAGCTTTTATTGTAATAATTCAGAAGTCAGTAATCATAAATATTAATTCTTGAGCCGTGGTGACTTAGGAGATAGAGCGCTCGCCTCCCAGTGAGGTGAATTGGTTCGAATCCCAGTGGTGGCTGGTCGATGCAAAATCCGCACCCTACTCGCATCGCCAACAGTGCTGACGAAAAAATATCCTCAGTGGTAGACGGATCATGGGTTAGAATCCTCTTGAAGTCAGTCAAACCGTGGAAGGTCTTCGTGATTTCCCTATACATGTTACGCAATTGCGGGTTAGTTACATCAAAAATTCCTCAACGAAGGCAAATTTCTCTCAATACCTGTTCCAAGAGTTCCCTTGATTTCTGGATTGGGTTCAAAATTACAAGGCTACGGAGTTGAACATTGGTAGTAGTAAAATGACAGTTGGGTAAATTGTTCAATAATTGTTCTAAAATAAAATATTAATTCAAAGTTCCTGTAAGAAATGTTGATTCGTTTATCTTAAAGTTACAACTGTGCAATAATATTTTATCCAAAGTGATGCTCATTTAAGTCTGGCTAAAATCTTTCGAGCGGCTCCAACAATAGCTATAAAAAGTGCTGTTTGGGTATATAAAAATGGCTAGTCTTTTTTT